AGCCCGTCACTATCAGTGATGTCTGCAAGATGCTACAAAGTGTGAACCCCCATGAAGCGACAGGTAGTGATGCAATCCCAGGCATTGTGCTGCGTGATTGTGCACATGAACTGGCGCCTACATTGACTTTGATCGTCAACAGATCGCTAGCCACTGGATGTGTTCCATCAGTGTTCAAGCTTTCTCACGTCAGTCCCCTCTTTAAAGGAGGCGATCCAACTGTCTGTGGTAATTATAGACCAGTGTCCCTCTTGCCCATAATTTCACGATTGCTGGAGAAAATTATCAAACAGCAACTTACGGCTTACCTTGATACCTGCCGAGCTATCCCTAGTACACAATTTGCATATCGAAAACATCACTCAACTGAGGATGCTCTCACTCTCGCTACTAATCGCTGGCTCAAGAACCGACCTGATCACAAAGTAACTGGCATTTCCCTCGTGGATATGTCAAAGGCGTTTGACCGCGTACGCCATGATCAGTTATTGTCCCAACTGTATTCTGTTGGCCTATCTGGTAAAGCCTTGGAATGGTTCACGAGCTATCTATCTGGTCGTTACCAGCAAGTTCGTATAGGAGGCACATTGTCCAAACCAGTACCTTGTCCCCGAGGTGTTCCCCAGGGTAGTGTGCTTGGTCCACTTCTCTTCATATTGTACACTCGTCAACTCAACGAAATCCTTCCTAGCAGCATAGTTCACCAAGAGTTCGCTGTCCTGGAGGCCTCGAGTCGTGGTGCACAAGTCGTATGCTGTTCTCTGACTGATGGACTCGCTAATGTTTCTGCCTGGTTGGGCGATCTAGGTCTACTTTTTAAGCAAGAAGACACAAGTTATGTTCACAAAGCCCCGTGGTCTGCAAGACATCGACCATCCAGTACAGTGTGGTCAGGACATTCTACAAGTTGTACATTGTGTGAAGTACTACCTTGGAGCTCACGTGGATGACAACATGTCTTGGGATGTACATGTCAATCACCTCGCGGAGAAAGCCAGACAAGCGATCGGAAAGCTATGGCGGCATGGACATGGCTTGACAGTGAATGCCCGCCGCACCTGTTACATTGGCATGATTCAGTCCACACTCTGCTATGCCAGCAATGCGTTCTACCCAGCTCTTTCTCAGCATGCACTTGGTCGTCTGGAGCGTATGGCCAAGGCAGGGGTCCGGTCTATTTTGCTGCCACCGACTGCTACCCCTACCGCTCCTTTGCTTGCACAGACACGCATCCTTCCTCTTGTCCACATATATAGGCTAAAATTATTAGTATTCGTCCATCGCTGCATCCAGTCTGCTACAAGTCCCCTTTTCGACAATTTCTTTATCTTATTAATGCTGCATGCCCGCCTAACCGCCACATAACTCGTGGTCATTCCACCAATCTCCTGCAAATACCCTTCCAAAGAGGCCCTTATAGCCGATCGTCATTCCAGTTTGTGGGAAGCGTATTGTGGAACAGTCTCTCGGCCGAACTTTGATCCATTGTAGAGAAGAAGCTGTTGCGTGATGCATTGCGCTCGCAAGACCTGCTTATTCTCCCAGTTGCCTATACTGCTTTTGTACTCTGTCTAAGATCTGGATCTTACTCCTGCTTCTCAATCTATACTACATTATCCTCTCCATTTTATCTCCCTTCCGTGCCTGTTTTTTTCTCCCCTCCCCATTCTCTTTCTGCCCTCTCCTCTTCTAAGTCGTCTCCTTGTGAGAAGGCACCATTGCCTGTTTGCCTGTTTGGTTGAACGACTATAAATAAAGCACAACACCAACAGCATCAATTTATAAAAAATTTATATATATATATATATTATATTATTGGTTCGGGCCTGATTGGAAATTTTCATTTCCATTGCTATCAGGTTCGGCCTCATTTCCTCTGTGCTGCGCTGATGAGTTCAAAAAGAACGAAACAGCATGCTGTCCGCAGATTGAGTATTTCGCTCCTGCTCTTGTAGCAGTTGAGCACTCTTGCGTGGGGTAGTGCCTTTGCTGTTTGCGTTATGCAGAGCTCACTGACTTGTCAGTTTGAGCACTCTGGCAGGGTACGTTCGGGCCTGATTGGAAATTTTTATTTCCATTGCTATCAGGTTCGGCCTCATTTCCTCTGTGCTGCGCTGATGAGTTCAAAAAGAACGAAACAGCATGCTGTTCGCAGATTGAGTATATATATATTATATATATACAATCAACTTCGCTTATAACGACACTCGGCGAGGCATTAAAAAGGTGTCCTTATTCGCGAAGTGTCGTTATACCCGAAGTCTCATTATATGTATTTCAGTGGGATGGGACTTTGCTCTGGGCATGGAAATTCTGTCGTTATTCGCGAATTGTCGTTATATCCGCAGTCGTTATTAGCGAAGTTGACTGTATATACTGAATCTGCGGACAGCATGCTGTTTCGTTCTCTGTGAACTCCACAGCGCAGCACAGAGAAAATGAGGCCGAACCTGATAGCAATGTAATATAATGTCCAAAGCCAGATTTAAATCAGGCCCGAACTTACCTTGCCAGAGTGCTCAAACTGACAAGTCAGTGAGCTCTGCGTGATGCAAACAGCAAAGGCACTACCCCACATGAGAGTGCTCAACTACTACAAGAGAAGGAGCGAAAATACTCAATCTGCGGACAGCATGCTGTTTCGTTCTTTGTGAACTCCACAGCGCAGCACCGAGAAAATGAGGCCGAACCTGATAGCAATGGAAATAAAATTTCCAAAGCCAGATTTATATATAATTATATACACACTTGAGAGGAATCAAAAGCGTTTCTGCTGTAACTCTGAGTTTCACGGTTCTAACCGATCATCAGACAGCAACTTGACTACAATTTTCCGAAGATAAGATTGATATAGGCTGCAAGCTTGGATCATAGCGCGAATGGATGATCCGGGCTGATAGTGTAATTGTAAAAATGCGTGAGTTGGTTGATGGGGTGCAAAAATACACTTTAGGCCTAGGCTAATGAAACCACATGTTCTTCTGAGGGAGGCAAGAAGAAGGACAATGGGGTAATATAATTATATATTATACGAAGCTTGGGAGCAACCAAAGCGCGAGAGAGCTCAATACCTTGCGGCAGAGCAATAATATCCGAAGGGAAACAATGGTTACCAAGAAAACATCACATATATATATATATATTATTATACTCAATCTGCGGACAGCATGCTGTTTCGTTCTTTTTGAACTCATCAGCGCAGCACAGAGAAAATGAGGCCGAACCTGATAGCAATGGAAATAAAAATTTCCAATCAGGCCCGAACGTACCTTGCCAGAGTGCTCAAACTGACAAGTCAGTGAGCTCTATATTATTATAATTATATAAAATTCGACGGGTTCGCGTACCGAGCAGTTCAAGAACAAGGAGTCGTACAACTCCCTGGTCAAGAACCACCTTTCCGCTTCCGTGGGACGCCACCACCCCATGATCAGGCGTTGGCTTCCGCGGAATATGCTCGTATTTTTAACGATAATTCATTGCCTTAAATTTCGACCTATTAATTCTCGCATTAATTCTTTTTTTCTTCCATTTTGCAGATACCGTAAAATTCACGGTTCGCGTGAGACTCAGCTGGAACCTTTTTCTTTCTTGTTTTAGAAAGACAGGGCGAACAATATTTGCAATTGCAGGACCACAAGCTTTTTGGTACAAATCAGGGTGTTATAAACGAAAAAATTGAAAAAAAACGGGGGGGGCATTGCTCAAATTTTACCGATTATTCCACAAAAATTGCCAACAATTCCCGTTAAAAAAAAATTCACGGTTCGCGTGAGACTCGGCCAAAGGCCCAGTTTTCCGCATCCGCAGGAACGCCACCACCCTCTAGGATCTTGGCGCAGATGTTTTAAAAATCGTTTTAAAAATCAGACCTATAATTCCTGAAATTACACCGGCATATTCCGTGGAAGCCTAAGGGCGCGTTCAGACTACCGATAAAAAGTGACCGATAGGGAAAGTCGCCAAGGTGATTTGATCACGTGACGTTACTGGCACGTTACCGGTGGGAAAGTTTTACTGCCGCGGCTGATGCGGCAGTAAACTTTTACCGGCAGTAAAAAAGTGCTCAGGCTGCATGCGCGCTGCGAAAAAAAGGGAAAATCCCTTGTCAGTGCCGCGGTGAGAGCTGAAAACTTCACGGTCACGTTAGTTTGTTATCGGTAGTGTGAATGTCCTTCACGGTTTATCGGCATTCACGGTTTGACGGGGTTCACGGTAGTCTGAACGCGCCCTAATCAGGCGTCAGATGTGGGCCATCATGCGGCTCCTAAACGTTGGGGGAGAATAGATTTTTTTTTTTTACTGAATACCACAGTACCATCAGATGCTGCACAGCTGGGGCGGTGGCATATTGGATGGAAGTGGGGGCGGGGCAAAAGTAACTCCTCCGACCAAAGGTCTCGGAATCATTGTTACTCCTGTGCGCCGATACATAGGAGAAAAGAAACATGTGCATCCAAGAGGGGAGCACCGGCTTTGCAAACGATCAGATCCACCAACCATAGGCCAAAGGCCTAAATCCCATTTTCCACAGCCATGTTTCTCACTCATGCCAGGCCACGAGTTCCCAATTATCTGTGGGTCGCAGCACGGTTGGAAAAATTCCTTCCGCTTCCAAGCAGGACTTGAACCTGGTACCTCTCGTTTCTCAATCGTGGTCTTAGACCAATTCACTGTGCCTGCCTGCACCGCATTAACATTAATCTATAAGAAAAAGAAGAAAACGAATGAGAACGAGTTATGGAGCAACTACCCACGGCTGTAACAAGATGATAAACGGTCAGTACGTGTGATAATAGGACACAAAACTAACAGGCTACTAAGACATTAGGCGACCTGAGACCTATATGTAACTCTAACAAAACTCCAGTGCGCAAACCAACAGCCTTCCAACTTGGAAGGTTCATGGTGAGGTAGGACCGTTCTCTTGGTATCAGTGTCTGAAAGTTGGCTGCCAATTTTTCTTCTTAGAAAGCCTCCATATGTGTTATTTCCTGCAGGTATTTCCGGAGTAATGCAATCCAGAGTAATGCAATCGCACAGCTGCAAGGATACACTTTTGGATTTACCCTGAGTAATCTGAAGGTTCTGTAAGTTGAGCGCACATCATGCAAACCACTGCTCCTATATGGTATTGTATTGATTTTAGTTTACATCCCAATCAAACGGGCATATCGACTTTCATGAGGAAGAACTGAGATGTCGCAATTTCGGCAGTAGTTGTAGAAGAAGATACCTGTTGCAAGCGTTGGAGCTCGCACTTCCAAGTAGGGTCCGGCGGATTCTGCCGGCAGAAAAATTAGCAGAATTCGGTACTTTTTCTGGTAAGTTTCATGCATGTTTGGTATGTGGATAAAGAAATGGAGCAGAATTCGAGGAATTGCCCGCCATAAGGTTTGTATGGTTCTGCCAATTTCACTGCTTTTCGAGCAGAATCTGCCACCTTTTCGAGCAGAATCCGCCGGTCCCTACTTCCAAGTGTCAGTCAGTTGCAATCAAACGCGAGGTCCAACATCTGGAGCAGCCACCTTCTTCTGCAATAGTCCGGAAAAAGCATCTCAAACAATACAATGACATTGCTTAAGATGTTTTTACTGAATATTGCGGACCATTGATGTGAGACAATTGAAAAATTGAGAGACTTACACACAGAGACCCCGAGAAGTTGTTAGAAGCTGTCGGTTCTCAGAGTTTGAAAATGCCAGGTGCGAGTGTTCCGAAAGCCATAGCCTGAGTTACTACACCCAAAAATCAAAACGTTATGGTCCGTAGAGTTTCGGACGCTGAGTCGAATGGTGAAGGTCCCACTTCGATCCGACCAAGCGTTCTTGAGATATATCAGTTTAAAATTGTCCTTTTCGGGTCCGTGCCGTGACGTCACAAATCCGTGACGTCATTGAGACTTGGGGATCCTTTGGCCAGATCCAGAAACACTGGGATTTCGCATCCTCTTTCTGTTTGTCCATGGAAAAAGAGGGTATTTGCTGTCATAATGGCTTCTGGCTGTTGTTGGCTACTATAATCTTACTGGCAACCCCCTGGGATGAACCTGCACCAATTTCCGAAGGATTGTGCTTTGCACAGGCCGAGCAGTGCACCATAGTAGCTATCAAGCGAAATAATTATTTGCTTGACAATTAAGAGAGCATGTCTGAGAAAACCAGAACATATGTGCAAGTCGATCTCTCAGATTTCGCTCAAATTTTGCAGGTAGGTTTGTTTTGGGGTGTAAATCGACATTCCAAAGCCCGCGCAAAATCTTCTGTGGCGTAAAGGGATGATTGCTCTCGTCTTCTGGGATGCTGGTGTGGCTAAGTGGTGCTGCCCCAAGAACTCTTCTAAGGTGAGGTAATGTTGGCTTGATGGAGTTTTGTTCGTAGCTTGTTCTTGTACGCTGTGCCATGGCTCGTTTGTACTTGTACAAGTAGACTCATAAATTGTGCCAATATTGGGCCAATATTGAGGGGTATGCCAATTTCAAGGTTCTCTTCAACAGATTTTGCGCAGGCTTTGGAATGTCGACCAACACCCCAAGCAAACCAACCTGCAAGATTTGAGCGAAATCTGAGAGATCGACATGCTCTCTTAATTATTTCGGGACTACAATGTAAATCCTTCGCGTGTGTTCCAGCCATTTGGCAGAGGAGGATTTTCAGGAGGAACATTATGCACTCATCCGATGCGGACGCTGGTGGATGAAACTGTGGTGTGTCCTGTTTTCGCACGCCACACTGTGAAGCGTCAGTCGAAAAGCGGAGGTGAGTGCAATATTTCAAAAACACTAGCTACTGTATGTAGTTCTTTCTTTTCCAAAGCATTTGTAGAATTGTTTTGGACTACATCACTACGAAATGTGAAGCTTTCCGAAACCGGCCTGATGACAGGTGGACGGCAGTAGATCTACTGTTTCCCTAGGCTATACTGCGTGCGATCGACGAACCTGTCTACGATTGCTGTTCTTGATTTTACAGGCAGAAGATCAAGAGCAGCTGTACCATCGGTCGCTGTGACTCACTGTTGAGCTACGACCACTGCCACCGCCCAAAGGTTATAGGAAGGACTGTTTGCAGCGCCAGCGCCTCTAGCTGGCATGTTTTTTCCTGTATGAACAGACAGTATGTACTGCTGATAAGCTACATCACGCAATGACCTGCAGTTCTAGGAGAGAAGATGGTCCACATACCGGCACCAGTGTACACCTATTTAGGAACTCGTTGCGTTTTCTCAGTATGGATGCAGATGAGAGCCAGACATTATTATTATTGTGTGTGTGTGCATGCACGCGCGTTAGTGTGTGTGTGCGCGTGAGTGTGTGTGTGCGCGCGCCCGTGAGTGTGTTTGCGTGCACGCGCGTGAGAGACAGACATTATTATTATTGTGTGTGTGCGCGCGCATACGCGCGTGAGTGTGTGTGCGTGTGTGCGCGCATGAGTGTGTGTGCGCGCGCAGGCGTGTGCTTTTGTGCAACGTAATATAATATTCCAAAGATATTCTCGTCATCTATTCTGTGTTCTCCTTTATGTCATTCTCTCCCCCTTGCGGGACGGACATGGAATGCCAAGTAGTAGATTCATTGCCGTCAGTGATCCTGAGGGATGTGTGCGTGTGCAACAAAGTGAATGAGTGCGCGCATGTGTGCGTGCACGAGCATGTGCACAGGCACTTGTATGCTTGTGCACTCGTGTGCACCCACGCTTGTGAAAATGCGTGTCTGCGTGTGTGAGCATGTGTGACTACTATACTATGTGCCCACCAAGGTGAGCACATGTGCGTGCGTGTGTGTGGGGCGCAGGCGGAAATGTGCACACATTTTAGATTGATAATCAAGAAGGACAGAGAGCTGTTCCGGTAATGCAGTCATGAGACACCACAGTAGGGCAAAACGCACTCAATATGCTACTGTGCTGTTGCTGCTGCTGCTAGAGTGCACAGCGTAATTGTTGGTACACAGCTACGTGAAATACAAGAGAACGTCTCAGCATTCTGTAAAGACTAAGTGATAATGCAAACGGTGAGAATGTATTTCGCCACAATACGAATTGAGGTGCAGTCCACTTATGTGAGATAAAGCACAAGTGAACCGATACACATTGCACGACTTGCACGGAGATAATGCTAGCCATGTTACGCAGCAAACTCCATGTACAGGAGTGCAAGTGAGGAGACTATTGATCTGAGCACTGTGTGAATACAAAATTTCACACAATTTACGATATGAAGAGAACGATTCGACTTGTGAGCATTACGTAGGACTATACTGTGAAAACACTTACGGATTGTCAGACTTGTCTGAGCTGGTTTGGTCTGCCGCTTCATTTCGAAATAGCCCAGCCAATCGGTCGCCAGATGTTGCTGATGGAGAGCGACTTCTCCAATTGCAGTCATTTCTGCTTCATCCACATTTAGAGCCCGAATGGAAGCCACCGCTTGCGCTGCCATATCCTTTCCTGAAAATTTCGGCTCATGCCCGAAGCCAAACATTTTCAGCTCAGACTCTGAGCTTTCAAACTCGTCTGATAGGTCCGAATCGCTCATGGTGAGGACGTCTTTGTCAGAACTATTCTTTTCACATACCAAAATACTTGTACTTCTGAGCTTGGCCCAAGCAGGCTAGTCTCAATGACGTAGAAGGGCTTTTTGGGGGTGTATCGCGACCGCATGACTTCATGGCGCGTCCCCCGAAAGTAAAATTTAACCGAAGATATCTCAGGAACGCTTGGTCGGATGGAAGTGGGACCTTCACCATTCGACCCAGCGTCCAAAACTCTACGGACCATGAAGTTTTGATTTTTGGGTGTAGTTCCCCTTTAAAGGTTGCCAGCATCAGAATACGCTATTTGTTGCTTTCTGCATTGTCTCATGATGACTTTCTGTTCTGTGCAGTCATCTGGAGCACAACCTCCTGATGTCGAGTTCATTTTCTACAGGCTGGGCTAGTCCAATGCCTTTCCTCCAGGAACTGTAAGCCATTTAGAAATTACTGTGTGTGTGTGTGTGTGTGCGTGCGTGCGTGCGTGTGCGTGTGTGTGTGTGTGTGTGTGTGTGTGTGTGTGTGTGTGTGTGTGTGTCTGTGTGCCTGCATGTGTGTGTGTTTGCGTGTATGTGTGTGTGTGTGTGTGTGTGTGTGTGTGTGTGTGCGCACAGGCGTGTGTGTGTACATGTGAGTGTGTGCATGTGTGTGTGTATGTGTGTGTGTGTGTGTGTGTGTGTATGCATGTGTGTGTGCATGTTTGTATTGGTGTATGGGTGCACACCAATTTTTTGAAAGGAATTTCGGTATCCTAGACCTTTATATTTCCAATAGTGTGGAATTCCAATCAAAGTTGTTTTAAGCGAGTCGGGTTTTCAATGTTTTTTTTCTCTCTTTAAGTGAAATGTACCAGAGACTGGGTACATTTATCTTTATATTCACAGCGTTTTATCTATTTGACTTGGCTCAACCTCCACCACATGCCCTCTTTGTCCGACCTCATCCATACCAGCACCATGAATCCAATTTGTAGATATTGGTGACTAGGGTTTTACGCCATACCAGTGAATGTGAAAGAAAGTGAATTACTCGGTTACAGCATGACTGCGGTTTGTGACAAAAAAAATCTCAGTGAGGGTTATACTCCAGTGCGGCTTTTCCTCCTTAAAACACGAAGCGTTGCAGATAGGCGCCACAGATTCTAGCGCTCTGGATTGCATTTAGCTTACAGAATACGGGTGACAGTTCACACTTTGGCCTCCAACACAGCTAGTGCTTACGGGCGTATATTCTTACCGTGATGCCGCAACTGAGATCTGATTCACGTGTGTAACACCTCTGTGGATACTGCACTATGTGTTCCTCCACAGTTACTTGGACAACAACAAATTAACTTTCACTCAGACAGATGTGACAAATCCAGGAGCACGTATGTTTTCCGGCCTGGGAAACCTCCAGAAACTGTAAGGTTTTTGTCACATTCCATTACATGATGTTTGTATTTTTAGTAACTTTGAAACTCAATGGTAG